TTGACCAGGGTACAGTGGATTAGCTGGGGTGGAGGGTCTGGCGGGGTTACTTGGAAATGAAATAACCTCTTCTAGTGGTAAAAGACATAATATGATGAATAAACAATGAGTAAATGTATTGGGTATGTTGATGAGAGTGTAGCCCTGTACCAACTGTTATCTATAAATTATCTATACTACGGGAAGGTGAGGCCTTGCTAAATGCCAAGTGGCTCAGAGAGGCTCTAGCTGTGATTTTGGCCGAGGGACTGAGGCCACAGCATGAAGTGGTGTGAATGTTGGCCTCTCGGTGACAAGTAAGAGATTCAAATGAGTGGCCGTGACACTTGAGGCCCTATCTAATAACTTGTAGAGGTTGAGCGAGGCTCTAACTATGAGTTGGGCAGATAGGTGAAAACCTCTGCGTGAGGATGCGTGTTGGCCTCGCGGGACTGAATTATGAACATACTAGAAAATGGCCTGCACCAAACCCTTCGCAGCCAGTTGATCTATCCCTAAGAAGTGTAGGGGAATAGAAACGTAATGGATTGATAGAAAGTATGTTGGAACGTACGTACATTGCCCAACTAGTGAGGTTGAGCTTGAGAAAGGATGTCGTAGAGAGGAACCTAAAGAAACGATGGGAATATGTCCAGGATGGTGTACGTGCTAATTGAAATAACGTACCTGTGTTGTGGTTAAGGATTAATACGTCAACAACAGGTTGATAAGTAAGAATGGTGGGAACCAAAAAAAAAAAGTTAGGGAACTTGTGTATAATGAGTACATACCTAGGCCAAACAAAATGAGTGAGTTAAATAGATACCCGACTGAACTAAATCTAGATATGAGTTCCCACTGTGCGTCCTACTAGAAGGACCTGAAGTATGTGTGAGAAAAAATAGCCTAAGTAATTAACCCCTTAAGGACGGAGCCAAATGTACACGTTGTGAACGAAACAAAATGTAAACAAAACCTGGCATTTGCGCTACATGTCTGTCCAACTGTAATTCACCTCTTTAATATTAAATACACCCACCCTTATTATATAATTTTATTTTTATATATATATATATATATATATATATATATATATATATATATATATATATATATATATATATACACACATATATATACATATATATATATATATACATATATATATATATATATATATATATATACACACACACACACACACATACATACATACATACATATATATATATATATATATATATATCATTTTATTCAGGGGAAACAGGGCTTTCATTTAATATCAAATATTTAGCTATGAAACATAATTTAATATGAAAAAAATGGGAGAAAATAAGATTTTTTTTAGATTTTTTAAGTTCTACATGACATTTTAACGGTCAATGTCATAATACAGTTTGCTTTTACTGCAATAAAATACACATTTGTATTCAGCAAAGTCTCACGTGTAAAACAGTACCCCCTATGTACAGGTTTTATGGCGTTTTGGGAAGTTACAGGGTCAAATATAGCACGCTACATTTGAAATTGAAATTCGCCAGATTGGTTACGTTGCCTTTGGGACTTTATAGTAGCCCAGGAAAGAAATTTACACCCATAATGGCATATCATTTGCAATAGTAGACAACCCAAGGTATTGCAAATGGGGTATGTCCAGTCTTTTTTAGTAGCCATTTGGTCACAAACACTGGCCAAAGTTAGTGTTAGTATTTGTTTGTGTGTGAAAAATGCAAAAAACGCCAATTCTGGCCAGTGTTTGTGATTAAGTGGCTACTAAAAAAGACTGGACATACCCCGTTTGCAATACCATGGGTTGTCTACTATTGCAAATGGTATGCCATCATAGGGGTACTTTTCATTCTTGGGCTACCATAGGGTCTCAAAGGCACCGTAAACAATCTGGCGAATTTTAATGTGAAAAAAATGAAACACAAGACATATATGATGAAAGATACAGGTTCCCCAGGAGGACGTCCTAGTGAAAGCCGTACCGTATAGTAAGGTATGATTAGTTTATCGATATCGTGTAGTGTGGTGGGGTAGTATGCAACCCCTGTAAGTGAATGTTATGCAAATGAAAGCCAAATGAAGCACTGAAATAGGAACATAGTATGTTGCCCACTGAGGGTCATGTTAAACGGATGTTGCAAAGTCCCATTGAGGGCCTTTTGCAAGGACTATCTATATGAGGCCGAGAAGGGACCCAAGGAAAATCCTGAGGTGCAGGGTGGCCATGTGAGGTTGTGATAAAAGTAATGGAGGGGGTGATTGGTAGATCAGATATAGGTTGTAGAGTTTGTTGAGAAGTAGCAATTAAAGGAGCTATGATAGTAATGAGACAGTAGAGAAATAACAATAAAAATAATTAGCGTTTAGCTTGTGAAATGGTTAACATAAAAAATGTAAGAAATACACATTTTAAAAGTTATACAATACATACTTACTGAACCAGTTGAATGGAGGGTATAAAACAGAATTTATGTCAGGAATGAGGTTTAGACCTCTAGAATGCAATAGTGCTGAATTGATTTTAGGCTATGATGGCCTACATCATACGTTTATAAAACGTCTAGCTTGTGAAAAGTGAACATAATGTTTTTATAATAATAATGTCTTTGATTTTATTCTGTGGAACTCGCTTCCCTCCTCCATTAGATGCTCACTCAGTCTCCATTCCTTTAAAAAATCGTTTAAAACCCACTTCTTCATAAATGCGTATCAGTTAAACTGTTAATAGCTCATGACTGATTCCTCTTCTGCAACTGTCATTAGTCTAATACTATCCTTACCTTTTTGTGTCATTTTACCCCACTCCCTCTAGCATGTAAGCTCATTGAGCAGGGCCCTCAACCCCTCTGTTCCTGTGTGTCCAACCTGTCTGGTTACAACTACATGTCTGTTCGTCCACCCATTGTAAAGCGCTGCAGAATTTGACGGCGCTCTATAAATATCATAATAATAATAATAATATTAATAATAATAAATACGTTTATAAAGCATACTTTAGGAGGATGATTAACACTTATGCAAACATAATTGTTATATATAGCACAATAAGGTTAAAAGGAACAGCAAATGCTAGAATAACAGAGTAACATGCATTAATGTGGGGCTAGTAATTGTTGAATCGATTGACAGTACGATGTGTTGGAGGTCCTGTAGGGCTTGTTAAGAAACACTTGTAAATATAATCCCAATTGAATAAATAAAATTAAAAAATGAATTTAAAAAAAAATGCATGTTTTCATTTGGGGTATATCTACCAAGCAGTTTATTTTTATTTATTTTTGGGGGGATGGGGGGCAGTGGAATGTCCCCCAGTGGCAGACCTGGTGTCAGGGTGGCGGTCCGGTGCCCGGGACCCAGACACTGTCCGGGCGGCGGTGCGAGGACCGGGACCCTGTATGCCTGATGATAAGGGGTAGTCTTACTGTGGAGGTGGATTAGCAGGGTCTGGTGCAGGGTAACCGCACGCCCCCTGGTGTTGAGCACCAGCGTTTGTCCAGCCACATACCAGAACCCTGATTCAGCTTCAGCGGATCCCAGGAACTAAGAGCAGGAATTAAGCAGACCTCCCAGAGCTGAATAGCGAGGCTCTGCAGCAGGAGTGTATCCAGTACAGAAACAAGACAAGGCTAGGAAAGGCACCAAACATGAAAACAAGACAAAACTAGGAGAACCCAGACAGAGGTGCCTCTCTAATTAGGTGGTTTAAGCAGCCGCCTAAGGCCTCGTGCTGGCTGGGGCCTCGCGGCCGCCTAAACCACCTTATGGCAGACTGTGTCAGGTCCTCGGTCAGAAGGGGGCCCGGCGGCTTGCCCGGTATGCCGACGGGAGCGAGGCCCCTCCTGGCTGCCCGGCCAGCCACCGCAGACACCGGTCTGCAGCTTCGCAGTGAGCAGAGCTGCAGACCATGTGTCTCGCGAGAATTAGCCAATCAGAGCATTGCCGTGGGTTACCACAGCAACGCTCCGATGGTCTTGCGAGATTACATGGTCTGCAGTTCTGCGGAGCTGCAGACTGAAAGCAGTGGCCACCGGACCACCAGGGAGCCCACTGGACCACCAGGGAATAAAGGTAGGTTCTGCTCACCCCCCTCAGCCCCCCCACCCACCAGCCTCACCACCACCCTCAGCTTTACCACCACCCTCAGCCTCCCCACCCCCCATCACCCTAAGCCTCACCATCCCCCACCACACCACCCTCAGCCTCAGCCCACCACCACCCTCAGCCTCACCACACCCCCTCAGCCTCACCACACCCCACCACCCTCAGCCTCACCCCCCTCAGCCTCACCACCACCCTCAGCCTCCCCACCACCCTCACCTCACTCCACCACCCTCAGCCTCATTATGGGAGGGCTAATTATGGGAGGGGCTACAGTGCTATATAAGGAATGTACTCTATGTATTCAGTGCTCAGAATTTTGGAACAGGAGTTCATCTGAGACCCGATCGGTAATGTGAATAAAGACCTCTTAATTCCTGAATACCTGTGTCCATCTCTCTGTGTTCGGCTTCTGCACGCTTACACGGTTACATCTCTGGTGCATTGGCAGCGGGAAGCTCATCGTCACGGTAGCTGACACAGAGACGTGAGACGGTAGATCTTTACCAGCGTTCTCCACGGCAGCACCCCTGGACTTCTGCGTGGACCTCCTTTCGTCTCGGCGCCACTGGCCTTTTGTCCAGGAGATCATCAGCTTCTGCGCAGTGAGTACCGGGGTGTTCCGTCGATGAGTGTGAACCCAGGTCCAGGAACTAACAGGTAAGACTGATACCGTTAGAGCGGTAGACCCACAAGGGGTTTTATATTTGGAACCGGTTATTGGAATTGGAAGGCGCAACGCTTATCTGGACATTAGACGCTCTGTAGTCAGCCCGTCTAATATAGGTGGTATTGTCAGACTGAGTTCTGGTGTAAATAGCTCATGTCGGACACCGATGTCCTGCCTTGACTAGCATGCTAGGTGTAAATTTTGGTTGCTAGGTCGGGGAGATCGGTGAAACTAAGCAGACTCTTTTGTATATTATAGTTTGCTAGATTTCACCCTATCTTAACTAAGTGTGCTCTGTGGTAAATCCAGCCACTAGATTATTGATAGTGTAATAGACTAAAAGGGTATTGGTGTAAATTCTGCCCTCTAGTTCGCTATACGTGGTGTCTGGGCAGCGAAGAACTTATCGAATCTCTGGTGTACAAATAGATCGAAAGCTCTCGAGGTGCTGGCCAGTTAGAATAGTTGGGATTATTGTAAATGTTTTTAAATATATTGTAGTTGGTGAATTGGTTAACTTGTATGTCCTACTAGAAAGTTAGAGCTCTGCCGTCTAGTGGGAGTGTAAATTGTGTGTATAACTGTATAATAGTGCACGGTACCATAACCACTAACATGTATTATAATTACAGACATTGTGTATTGTATATAACTACTAACAATCTGTTGTTCGATGTTATATGTGTAACACCATAACTGTTACTAATCGACCTGTGATTCTAAAACTGTACCATAACCACTTGCTAACCGTACTATAACAACTGATTGTAAAGACGATGTTACTGGAGTGTGTTATAGTCTGGTAATTGAGAGTTGATTTACTGCATGGATGGTTGCAGGGTTTGATTTATAGTTACAGTGATGAGTATCTAGTATTTGGTGAATTTTCGTGTGTGAAGACGTCGTGTTAGCGCTGTGTGTGTATGAGAATTCTCTTTGTGTTTTTGGTGTGTGTTTGGCCTAGTAACTGTGCCACGTGGTGCTGTTGCTAAGGTAACTGGTGTGATTGTTGAAACTGTATATTTGTACTGCTTTGAATCAGATGCTCTGTTGAAATCATGGGTGCTTCTGATTCACAAACAGTCCTTTGTCTTGTATGTGTCAAAGAAAAAAAAAACCTTTATAAGGAATATTCTGTTTGTGATTATGGTGTAACACCAAAAGATTAAAATACTCTGTGTAGCAGAGGACGGCCTCTTCTGGTAACCAGTGTTCCTGTGGATTCTTGATCCAGATTTAATACAGCAGGTTTACAGTGTTATAAATAATATGTTGGGGCTATACGAGTAGTTTCTGTATACAGATTGTTGAAACACTGCTAAATGGAACAAACTGTGCTAAGAGGAACAATGGAGTCCATGGTAGCCAGAACCTGTTTGTCCACTAAGGCCTTAATTCCACCTAGTTTGGACACCTCCCCCCCTTGCATCTGATTGCCAACCCCTTTATTCATCCTCCAGAGCCAAAGTAGCCATTCCCCCACTCTTCCTCCCAAGCTAAAACTGGTATAGCTGGTATTTGCACTCCCCCTGCTCTATTGTCCCCGCCTACCCACATACCTATCTGTTCTTTTGTTTCAAACTCTTGTATTTCTGTACAAACTGGTTCTTTGTAATTTGAACTGACTTCCTTTTTGGTAGGAGTGTATTTTAGCATTGAATTTTATTAACAGTTAAATTGTGAGGAGAATTCTTAATAACATTAACTGAGTCTATTGGATCAGATAATTCTCAGCAATGACATTGTACCATAATCATTGAAATAGCACTAAAACTACTGACAATCATTCAGTGACAGTCTAAAATACAACTGGAAGAAATGATCAATGGTATAAGATGCTAGAGTACACCTTTATCCTTTTTTTAGTTACTGGATGGGCCCTTCCCAGCTTTGTTCAAAATATTCCTTTTACTAAAATACAAACTGAGATTTTAATTTACCATAGAACTAAAGCTTTACTCAAGCCTAGATATCAGGGTGAACAGTGATTAAAATAAGTAATAATAAAATAAGCACATAACTAAAGTTTATCTGCTTCATAAGATTTAAGGGAGGTACTCTAGGGCCACCTACTGGCCATCTTCGGGAGTTACATTGAGATTACATTGCATAATCATCTTTAACTCTATACTGGCATATAACAGACATAAGTAGGATTGCTTACCCTATTTTAATATATTTATTGCTATAAGGTTTTATTTTATGTATAAATATAAGTTTTATTATTAGACCCATAAAGATTATTTTGATATAATTACCTTCTGGTGACACCTACTGGTAGGTTTTTGGTTTAACACTTTAAAAAAAAAAAAATGTTTCATCCACCAAATGCTGACTAGTAAAATTATCTCACCCCCTTCCACCTATCTTACTACTCTCAGACTGAGCAGCCTTGCTGAATCCCTGTATTAGCCCAACAGATGACTGGTACCCTCCAACCCTGACATTACCAAATGCCTCCCCGACTTACACTGGGCCCAATACACGTTGATGAAAATGGCCAAATACAATGGTCAGATCCAGTGTTTGTCTATGTCCCCTTCAGCACAACTGATTTATTTAACTGGAAGACACATAATTCTTCATGCACTGATAAGCTTCAAGCCATGACAGATTTGGTTCCCTCTATTATACAAGCACACAATCCCACCTGGGCTGATTGTCAGCAATTATTACTGACCTTTGGAATGCTAATGGCACTGATATGCCCAATTTAAGAGCTTATAGGGAAGCCATTATTGCTGGCATGAAGGCAGGAGGGAAAAAGGCAATTAACATGTCCAGGATGGTTGAAGTGTTACAAAAAGCTAATGAATCACCCAGTGCTTTTTATGAGAGACTGCTTGCGTAAAATAGATTGTACACTCCTTTCAATCCTGAAGCCCCTGAAAACTTCCAAATGATTAATTCAGCATTTGTCAGCCAGGCTCAGAGCAATATTAAGAGAAAGTTACAAAAATTGGAGATTTGCAGGGATATCCATATCACAGCAAATGGAGGTTGCAAATAAGGTGTTTATGAATAGGGAAATTGAGACAAAGTGTGAGGAAGAACGTAAGATGAGGAAAAAGGTAGATATGCTAGCGGTAGCTATCACAAGTGAAGAAAGACAGGGAAGAGAAGTGAATAAAGGAGTTGAGAAAAGGCTGAGTAAGAGACCTTTAAGTAGGAATCAAAGTGCATATTGTAGAGAAAGTGACTGTCCACAGAGGGGATATATTGCAGGTGGTAGACAAGAAGAGAGAAGAGGGTGAGGTGGTTATGGTAGTAGCTATAGAGGACGAGGTAGAGGAAGTTTTGGAGGAAATAGTGGGAATAATAGAGGAAGTGTTCAAAGGGACAGATATTATCCACCCACGCAGAGACCTAGAAAAAGAGAGGATAGAGATTTTGTGGGTCTTGCTGACACTGTCATGGAGGACTATTGATACCGACCGGCTCCATCCCCCTTGGCCGAGCAGGGCCTATGGTTGATGTAGTATCATGATCGATACTGGGTCTGAATATTCCGTGGTGACTAAATAAGTTGCTCCTCCATCAGGAAAAACCATTACAGTAATAGGAGCAACTGGGAAGAGCACTGCTAGACCGGTTCTTAAGAGTCGCACTTGCATTCTGGGAGGCCATTTGGTGAAGCACCAATTTCTATATATGCCTGAGTGTTCAATCCAACTTCTGGGACGAGATTTATTATCAAAGCTTCAAGCCCAGATAACCTTTTTACCCAATGGATCGACATCCCTGAAGTTTAATGGATCATCGGGCATAATGGCGATATCGGTACCAAGGGAAGAAGAATGGCGCTTCTATACTATAATGACAAGTGTAAATCCTAAGAGTGATGAATCCCTATTTGACATTCTAAGAGTATGGGCAGAAAATAATCTTGCCCGTAATATTCCACCTATATGTATTGGGTTGAAGCTTGGGGCCTATCGCGTGAGTCTACGACAGTACCATATACCCCAAAAGGCAAAGAGAAACATACAGACCTACTTGGATAAGTTCGTAAGATATGGTATCCTAAGATTCTGTACTTCCCCCTGGAATACTCCATTGTTACCTGTTCAGAAGCCAGGATCAGATGAGTATCATCCTGTACAAGATTTAAGAGCAGTTAATGATGCGGTAGGTAATATACACCCAGTTGTACCCAACCCTTATAATCTGCTTGCCTTGATACCAGGTGGGGCAACATACTTTACTGTCTTAGACCTCAAGGATGCTTTCTTTTGTCTTCGAATTGCTGCTGAAAGTCAGTGTATCTTTGCCTTCCAATGGGAAGATGCTGTTACAGGTTCAAAGCATCAGATGACTTGGACTAGATTACTTCAAGGGTTCAAGTATTCACCCACCCTATTTGGATCCACATTAAGTCAGGACCTGCAAGATTTCAAGTCTATCCCAGGAGAATGTGTATTACTTCAGTATGTGGATGATTTGTTGATAGCGGCAATTACTAAAGAGATATGCCAACAAGCAACTTATGATCTACTTCAAATTTTCTGGAAGGCAGGATACAAAGTATCTAGGAAGAAAGTGCAATTGTGCTAGTCAACTGTCAAGTATTTAGGATTCCATATCTCTGAAGGTCAAAGGATAATGGCACCCGAAAGGAAAGAAGCGGTATGTCAGATACCGATACCTAAGAATAGAAGACAGGTGCGAGAATTCTTAGGAGCAGCAGGATTCTGCAGGATATGGATTCCTAATTATGCAATATTGGCGAAACCCTTATATGGAGCTATAAAAGGCACAGAACATGACCCCTTCCTATGGACTACTGAACAGCAGAAGGCATTTGAGGATATCAAGAAAGCACTAATGAGTGCCGCAGCCCTAGGTCTACCTGATCATACACGTCCATTCTATCTGTATGTACATGAGCAAAAAAGAATGGCTGTGGGAGTACTAACTCAGTATTTGGGATCATATACGACCTGTCGCGTACATTTCCAAACAGTTGGATGCAGTGGTTAGTGGTCTTCCACCTTGTCTGCGAGCAGTGGCCGCCGCTGCCCTGTTGGTAGCAGAAGCTGACAAGCTTACACTGGGACAGGAACTCCATGTGCGAGTACCTCATGCAGTAAAATAAGTGTATATATGGTGAAAAAAACAATATAAGACAAAGTGCTACAATCACCAGCAATGTGGGTCACTCCACCTCACATAAATAAATGGTTAAAACAGTAAAAAATGGTGAGAGCACAGAGAAACAATAATTACCCTTATATTCAATATAAAACCTGTAAAAACACAATGGGAAAAACAGGCATAGGGTAATAACGTACAAATAATATATGAATGAGTAAATACTTGAATAAACTCACATATTCATGAGCCACTTAATATGGAAGCTGGCTCAGACTAGGAACATTGAATGGATTAGTGAGGTGGTTGTTGTAATCCAACTGCTTAATTGCTTGCTCCTTCTTGCTTTACAAAATCCAGGATGCAGGA